ATATATATATATATATATATATATATATATATATATATATATATATATATATATATATATACTACATAACCATAGAATTCCAACATGCACCAACTAATCGAAAATAAGGAAACCAAAATCACACCGTACGCAAGGCATAATGTTATTCGGTATGAGGTGATATATAACTTCGGCAGAAGGTTCAAATTACTAAAATTGTAGACGTATTTTTGTGAAGCTCTTTTTTTATGGGGAACTGCAGGTAAAAATTCCCTCTTACATAGCTGACTAAAGGATCGAAATCAGAAAAATTGAGCATCGGATGCATCAAATCATAAACCAATCTCGCAAGTCACCAATTCTTGACGGAAGGATGAAGCAGAATTAAATTTAAAAGGTAATTTAAAGAATGAAAAAAGGAAAATATATTCAACATATGCTCCTGAATTTCTTGCAATTTCTATTGGGAGCTCATGGCTTGCATTAATCGATCAATTTCAACACTTTCATCCGGATAAGTCCGTTTCATCGCGTCACTGAAATTAAGTAAATGAATCGTATTTCTCACTTTCCTACACAAACATGGAAAGACAGGAATGGATCATCCATCACTCAGCACATAAAAATAACTGTAAATTTTTAAAGCTTGTGTAATGGTGAAGATTCCACACGTCAAACCTTGAAATCTATATGAATTTTATAACATTTGCTAAAAATTATTTCTGCTTAAGCCAAAAGAGGTTGAAAAAAGGATTCCTTACAGTGAAAAGGCAATGGTTGGATATAAATCTCGAAAATGTCCAAGCTTTACCATTGATCCCAGTAAGAAAATCACACTGCTGATATCGATCAGTGTTTGAGGAACTTCTGACTGCAGATGGTTATAAATGACATAAGAAAATCTCAAATGAAAACTGCTTAGTTAGAAATGAACAACTGTTCTCAGTAGAGAGCATCTTCAGAACAATGCACATATTTGCTGATATAAAAAATCTCAGTTCCTTTTCCTTGCTTTTTTTAAATTTATAAAAGTGCTTGCATTTTTTAATTTTAACTTTTCCAATTCATTTATTCGAATTTATAATTTAATTTATTTTCTTTTTCATTTTTTTAACTTATACTTTTTAATATTTTTAATTTATAATTTCTACTTCCAACAAAAGCGAGAAAGAAATAATCAACGTTTCGAGTATTTAAACTTGGTGAAAAAAGTGCTTCTCACGAGGTTCTTTGTAAGTTTGCAAAGCTATCACTTAAATATATGGAAAAGTAACAAACCTTAACAGCACCCGCGAATGCCAACAGCTGATTGCATATTGATTCTGTCGCTGAAACTGGTCGACGCTTAACTTTTGCTGCTTCAATTAAAATCGCATCTGCAGTTTACAACAAATAAATTGGATTCCCGCATTAAAGAGAACAGAACAAACACAATTAAAAAGATGACATTTCAGAAATGGTCATTTCTGATCGCCAAAAAAATATTTTGATACTTTACATAAATCATCGTCTTTATGAGCTTTTTAAAAATACTTTGTAGATCATTGAATTTTATTTCGTCCTTCGTTATACTTTATGTTCAAAAGTTTCGAAAAAAATGCTTGACTGCGACCATATGACTACTTTTTTACTGAAGGCTTATGAGTCCAATTAAGAAATGGAATAAGTGTGATACTTATATGGCTTGAAATTATAAATCGTTCCTAAACATCAATTACTGGTAATCCAACTGAAGATTGAATGAAACTGTGAGCATTTCTTATAAAGTGTTACAGCATTTTTTCGAAACTCGAACATTTCAATAAAAAAGGAACTCACCCGTCAATGTCATGATCTTCTCTTTCAATGCTTGCTTATTAGGACTTTCCAGAGAAAGCAATGTACAAAAGGAACACAATAAAGCCGCTGTCATTTCTTGAGTTCTTCCACACAAATCAGCCTGGAACGCCAAGTGAACACAATCAAAGTGATAACTATGCAAAATGATAAAGTACTACTAAAGATCGCATGTCTTATGAAAAAAGTATTTAATGCTTCTGTTCGTTGAGTGCTAGCACCACAGAAATGAAAAACTGGGCATAAGAAGATTTCGACGATTATGCGATCAGAAAATTATGTCGAGTAAGAAAAGTAAAATACATAAAAAAGTTTCTTTGTTTGGAAGATAAGGTCAATAATAGAAAAAATAGCGTACATGCAATGTTTCCACAAAAGTTTTCATATGTGATAATAAAACGTCCAGCATGGGAATTGATGGCTTCTTTATGAATAAAATTATACTATTCTAAAATTTTGGCAAAGGTAAAAATATTGCAAAAAACCAAAAACGAAAACAACCATAAAATCAATTTCTATTTGCAAACAGATGAAAAAGAATTACTGGAAATATTATCATGGTAAACTTAACCATGTTTGGGCGTGCAAGTTCATTCACTAGTATATTATTAAGATTTTTGGTATATTCGTCATCACTCTTATTCCACGATTCTCGTTCAAAACTATCGATGAAAGCTATTTCCTCCATCGAAGAACCTTGATCAGTGCTATAAGTAGTACTAGAAAAATCATATACAGATCAAATATCAAAGACTTTGCCAGTCTTATTAAATCTTATAGAGAAGCTGGCAAATAACATTAATACTCTTTCGTACATGTTTTAGAATGAATTTAAAGATTCTAGGCATAATACGTGCAAAGCCATAGTATTTCATCGTTTTCTCCCAAGTTTTTACTATATTTAATTGCCGCATCGCGATTTATCTAAAGCAATGAAGAAAATAGATTTCGGTTTTCATTCCCCTGGTCAAAATTTTACCTTTCGCTTCCCAAATCCAGAAACTGAAGATGGGAAAATTCTTCTCTTAATTCATCAAAACGGTGTCCGATATTGTTAGAGTGCAACGAAAGACGCTCCAAATGAAATCCACCACTTGCGAAAACACGTACAATCCGCTGTATCGCATCTGCCCCTAAAGCATTCGAAGAGAAGTCCAAAACCTATAAATACGAAAAACTATAAATTGAAAACAACTGGAAAACGAACTTCAATGCTACAGACAAATGAATATCAAATAAAATTCTTAAATGAAATCCACTGTCGGATCTTGAAAGATATTAAAATTCGTTATATATATATATATATATATATATATATATATATATATATATATATATATATAT